GCAGTGCATTGGAGTTATATATATATATATAAAAATAGATCTGTGAGCTACCTCAACATTCTAATATAAGAAATATTTATGCATCAACTAATGGCAGGTAGATACATGTATTTTACACCTGTTTTATTTGTTACTATTCCAAATGATGGGATTATTAACATAGTAAAGTCAACAGCCACAGCGTTGTTGGCCTTTTGTTATTACAAGTCAACAGTCACAGCGTTGTTGGCCTTTTGTTATTACTCTCGACTGTGGCTTGCACCACACCTTGAGAGCAGCAACTTTAAAAACTTGGGTGAAGCCGTTGTCCTCAACAATATTGATGGCTCTATGGTTCCTCACAATCCATTTGGCAATTTTGTCTGTCAGCTTGTCAGTCGTTACTTACGGCCCTGCACTCTGTGGGGCTGCTCTGCTGTGAGCTGGGTGTCTGAGCTGGAATTGAAGCCTCCATTAATTCATGCAGTTTTGGTGAGGCAAAAATCTCCATCCTGCAGTGTGTGCAAATAACGTGTATCGTCTGCATATAAGAGCAACAGCAGTTTGGATGGTGGAATTATTGGATTATACAGTGTGAGTCATTGACATTTTTTATCTGCTTGAATTCAGTCATGTGAGTTTGTTTTCTTTGTGACATGAATCTAAAAGGTAGGTTCACATATTTAAACACATTAACTGCAAACCAAAAACAAAAAAAATATATGACCAAAACACGTCCGATGCTAAAACCATTACATTCAGTTTGACATGAGCATCTTCGTTCTGTAATTCTGCACCACAAATCACAGACGTGGGTTGCATTCTGAAAAACCCTACAATCAATTTTTTATTTTCCGTTTTCAGCATTATGACAATAGAGGCACACAGACAAACAAACAGTACCACTGGCACGGACCCATCACTGCTGTGAAAGAACTGGCACTGGAGCCGCAGCGCTCTGTGATGCTCCAGTCACACAGGCCTGATTGAGAGTGACACAAAATGGACAGAATGGACTCTCCCTAATTTGAAACAGCGTCATTAAAAGCAGGCCTGATGAGGCTGCCAGTGCATGCTGGGAACGTGCTACAGCTCCATTATAAAAATGAGGCCCCAACAAAGAGTCAAAACGGGGAGTGAGTTCAGCCCTGATGGATTTTCTTTGTTTCTTCTGCCAAACAAACTGTTAAACTCCATAACCAGTCATTCAAAACGGGTTTACTTTATCCACACGTGTCAGGGTCAGGAGAGAAAAATCATTATTACTGTCCTCTTAACTCCAAGTATGAGCAGCCAGATAAAATAAAGCCTGTAATTATATTTAATCATATGGAAAACTGATAGTATTTTAAACTGTCATTAGAATGAATCCTCACCACAGTATTCTCCATTTACCCGACGTTACCACCAAAGAAATAAATTCCATTTGGCACAATGAAGCCGTTTAATAATGATTTATGCATTTTGGCGACTTTAGACCCGAGATTGATTCATGCTCATTGATAGTTAATGATATTCCAGCATGGCTGACTGCCATGGCCTGAATTTAACTCCCTTCTAATGGAGACGTCTCCAACCAAATGAGTGAAAAACTGCATCGAATGAAGGCTGAGATTTATATTTTCTTTAACCCAAATGACATTTAGACAGGATACAGAGCTGTGTGGGTAAATCATTAGAGCATCAGTGGTTTGTTTTGATGGAGAAACCTCATACCTTTGTCATTTTGAAAAACAGACTTCAGGGATAAGAAGTCTAACAATTGATCATTTCCTGTTCAATTAGTTCATAACTTCACCATAAAAGTTCTCAAATTGATGTTCACACGTTGAAAAAACCACAAGATGTTAGACCATTGATTAAGAGTTTCTAATCTAGTCCTGTGCAGTTCTCACTGATTTGCAGATTTGATTGGATTAAAATTCCCATGTCCACAACCTATCCAATCATTCAGTGTTTTCTAGTAGCTTAAACTACAGGATTGGTCTGAGATACAACGATGAATTGTTTAAATTATTTTCATAACATTTCTTCAACTCAAGTTGACAGGTTTTTTTTCTCTTAAAACACATCTTGCTAAAGAGTGGGAATATCTGGGTTAGGTGAGGAAGCAGTTTTCAAGAAATTTAAATAGAATTGACCAGAAGACAGTAGAAAACAAACAGTCCAACCAAAACAATAACCAGTTTGAGCAGTTTCTCATAAGACTGTGACTTCCTGATTATGATAAAAAAAACCCTGATTATTTAGCAACTGTTTGCTAAATCCTCTCCTGCAATCATCACTGTTGTCTAAAAGTAGGGATTGTGGCCAAGAATATGTCCAAAGAAAAACGAATAATGTCTAAAATACGTAATATTACATGGGGTTTGAGCTAAAGGATCAAAGTTTTGTTGACTTTCCTATAGACCATTCTGACCACTGATCTTTAGTTAAGTACAGACAAAGGAATCGAATGGTTCAGGAAACATTTTAGCCTTCGGTGTTGGCCAGGTCTTCCAAAACCACCCATCAGAAATGACAAACTTCAAAAAAAAAAACAATTAAAAAAAAATCCTATCAAATTAGGATTTTTTCTTCTTCAATAAAAAAAATAATTTAAAAAAAATCCTATCAAATTAGGATTTTAGAGCCTTTTCTTTTTTGTTTTTTCTCAATATTATTTCCATGTTGATTTCAAGAGCTGTACCTTTTCTACTGCATCTAGGTGAAATATAATAAGGATAGGTGACCCAGGACATACGCAGACCACTGTGGATACACAGAACAATCCATTTTTCAATGCAAGGTTTCCATGCAGTTGAATACACCCCCCCCTTTTCCTGTGTAACCTCAGCTAAAAGTGAATCAATTTTTTCTCTTCTCTCCCCTGACAAATCTCAGCAGTCACCAGCACTGAGCTGTCTGAAAATGATATCTCCATCCAAGCATTTTGTTGAACTTATCCTTCCTGAAAGGACCTTTCTCCCAGAGCCTTCCACCTGAACGCCTCAATGCCAGTTCAACCTTGTGTCAATGGCTGGAGAAAAATAAACCGTCTACCGTAACGAAAACTCAACCTGACATATTCTTATGCTGCTTCCCCCTACTGTTTAAAGGATAAAATAAATTTGACACCATGCTGCTTTTACAAGAATAAAGAAAACCCAGAGCCTGTTACACTCAGTTTTCCTCAATTAGAAAATCTCCGCTGCTGTGTTTTCTTAGCCGGAGGTTGTAGAGAAATGTATTGATTCTTAATTCTGTGCCTTTTCTTGCTGCACTAACCTCTTTATAAGAGTGGAAACACAACATTTGTATTTCTCCTCAAATACCGTGTCAACGCAGCTAACTCAATTTATTTCAATAAGCAAGTGTAGGAATTTGATTTTCTTATAATGTGATTTTCATCATAAAACAATCAGGTGAATATGATTGATTTTCACCATCTTTTTGGTTCTCATTAGTCTCTCTTTTTATGAATGGACGGTGTTGGTAGAATGGTGTAGTCTGCATGAAACCTTTTTTTTTTTTTTCTTTTTATGTTTCTCTTTTAAAAGTGCAGGTCATGTCTCCCCTGGAGGGCGATAGAGTAATTCTGGGGAGGTTGGAAAAGACGAAAAAAAGAGGCAGGTTCAATGTCCGAGCGAAAACCATTAGATTTGGAAAAACCATTTTGGTGTAGAGCTGGAACATCAGAACTGAGCAGCTCATAGCTGCAACCAGAAACACAACCCAGCTCCCAGAAACAGGTCTTCCTTTCAAAATAAAAGCCCTGATATGTCTCCATCACCGATTAACACTTTTATTACCCCCGCACCCCTCTAAATTTGATGGGCCACCTGGTGTGATCCTCCCTTTCCCTCATGGTCATTAATTCGTAATATTATTAATTGCGTAAGGCTAAATTGAGACGTTTGGTGACGAGACTCATTAACTATTTTATTTTGGAAAAAGACAAAGGAAGTGGCTCCGCGGCTCATATATGAACTCGTGAAACTTCACTAGTCACGGACTTTTTTGCTAAGTGATGCTCCTGGTTGCACTGAATTAAGGTAATAACAAAACACTACGTTCTTTAAGACTGTCACGGCAGTGTTTTGCCAACTTCTGTTCCGTTCGGGCCAAATTTGGTTCCATTTCTCTGTGAAACCGTTCTTAAACAACACTACAGGTGTGTTTTACTTTAGTCTAGTTAGCTCTGTGTCTGGATAAACGTAAACATCGCCACTGTTTCAGAAACGTTAGCATTCGTTGTGTGTTTCGCGTTTTGCGACATTAAGTCAACAACAGAGTCATAGCAAACATCATAACAATACCATTGTTGCTACAGTGATGTTGGTGCAGTACGAATAACATGTTGCTCTTCATTGTGTCTGTGACACGTTTTTAATGACTATAAACTACAATATGAAAAGTTAGCGAGGTATCTCTTCAGTCTTCTTCAATAAGACATTAGAAAGGTAACCACCAAGAGGGGTGTGTGACAGTCATACTGAAGCTGAATGCAGCCAAGCAGCGACCCCCGACCCAAATATCCAGCCCTCATGGGCCACCTGGTGAAAATGCAGGGAAATGCTAAAAAATGTGTGCTGTGGTGTTCTGTACTATTTTACAGTGATTCAGTGAATGAAGGAATTCAAACACATTACACTGGCACTATGCACAAATTGTGTATTTGTTAAATATCTGCAAATCATACCATGTATTATACAAAATAATTATTTGCACTTTATTAAAATTGATTAATCTTTTGTATTACTTGCATGCTGAATTCAGTTATTCCTTTCATTTAAAAACGTAAAGTCATTGTCATTGGAATGAGCCAACTGAACTTTTGAATAGTTAAATAAAATGTTAATCTTTTAAGATTACCTTAATTCTCATTTCTCACTTAAATATTCCAGAATCTACATGTATGCAGACATTGACTGTGTGAACAAGAACAAAAGCTTATTTTCATCTTTAAATGTAGTAAAGTGTCGATCATCAGTATTCATTTCTGCATTTCCTCATTTTGAATGTATTTTTAATATTTCCAGACATTTCTTCAAACCAGAGCTGCAGGCCCTCCATCACCCGTCCAAAAGACCTTCCCTCGTACTCAGCACAGACATGGTAAGACCAGAGCCTTCAGTGCTCAGTAGTTCTGCTGCTGTTTAAGATGATAAGATATTGTTGTTTTATTGTGGAAATAATACAGCATCTTAAAACTGTGCTTAAAACTGATTACTGCACACTGCACTCATATGTTGACCGTACACAACTGAGCTCGTGTATGTTGTTGTTAATGTTCTAAATTTAATGTTTATTATTATAGAACATTGTTGGTACATTGTGAGAATCTAAGTGGTGCTTAAAACTAAATACTACACAGAACACCGATATAGAGCTAGAAGCTCCGACTTCTGATTAACTATGTACAGCAAACATCCTAGTCGTCTGTGTTAGAGCTTGGTAAGAGTTCACCCAGCAGATTTAATGTGGCCAAGAAAAGCAAGATGGATGTTCAGTGGAAGCCTTAAGTTTTGTTACTTCTAGGACCTCCCCCTCCCCCCCAGGTTACTTGTTGTTACTCACTGTGCCCCCAGGGAAATTTAAGTAACCCCCCCCCAGGTTACTTGTTGTTACCCACTGTGCCCCCAGGGAAATTTAAGTAATCTTCCTGAATCTTTTCATGTAAAGACGTGAACAAACTTTATGAAGCCCCAAACAACGATATGAATATTGTATATTCTAAAACAGACTTCCATTCAAAACCACATTTACATTTCAACAGAATTTTCCCAGCTAAGTTTTTTTTTAATCTAGCAGTTTCTATTTAGCTTTTCATACATGTCCAGTAACTGTCTTTACGCTGCTGAAATTTTGTCAAATTTGCAGCTTAAACCAGTAGCTGTAGGAGAAGCTCCTGATGCCAAAAACCCTGAAGATTTATAAATAAGGTACTTAATTAGGGCTTGATTGCCACCAGGGAGTGTGAAGCTACTGTAACTTCTCATAGAGTTGAAATCTGTACTCATTTAATTAAAGTATAGCAGAGGGGAGAAAAAAAGCAAGAGAAAAAAGCAACTGACCTGATTTCCAGTGAAATGTTGCTCTGCTCATTGGTTAGACTCGGCGTCAGATAACCAAGACGGGGAAAAGCGGCTTTGGCGTTATCTGGACTACGGTCTATCTACTCATTTTGAAGGGCAATGAGGGAGCAAATTTGATCAGATTCTCTCATTCTGTTTCTTAACACAGATTTTTTTTTTCTTTTTCCTGCTTTGCTTCCCTATCTCTTCACACATTTTTGTGTCATCGCAACCTCAGGCTTTCATTTTTGTCTGCTTGTTTAACGATCCATTTCCTTTTATCCTATCTCGGTCTAATCCTTCTCTGTGTCTTGTAATTTTGCCTCAATCTGTCGTAAGTGTCCCTGCTTTGTCCTTAAGATTGTAATGATATGTACGAAGTTGTTCGTGTAAAAACCAGGCATTAATCCCAGGGCGAGAAGTCAAATATCAGGATTACACAGTATGTTTTCACTGTGGTGAAAAAGGAAGAGAAACTCCACTTCACACCTAACTACAAAACTGCCACTGTCAATGATGGATGTTACCAAATGCAATCTGGCAGTGTGTAGTCATGCATGTGTGGGGTGTAGTTCTGACTGTACAGGTATGTGTATGTGTGTGTGTGTGTCCTGTTGTGTGTATCTGCAGAATTAGGTTTATTCAGTACACAGGGTGTTCATGAGATTGGAGCTGGTTACAGGACGAGTGTGAACTCCAGTCTGCAATTTACCTCATCCACACAAGAGAAGGAGAATTATGAAATTGTGGAGTTGGCTCAGTGCTGGATTGGAAATTAAACAACTGCCACAGCAGGGGTGGGAAAGACGTACGTAGATTATAGATTTGAGGATAAGCTTTTAAAATGTTTATGACGTGGGTCTGCTGACTGCAATGGCTGCAGTTAGATTCAGTGTTGAGGATTCAAGAAAAAAAAATCTTGAAAAATGAGCACAAATATTCATCCTCCTGTTAAGTTTAGAGCAGAGTTCCCAAAGTGTAGTGTGCAAAGCTGCGACTACGGGGTGCACCATAAAAAAAAAGTGTAGAATTTTCCCACACAATAAAGACTTGAGAAAAAGGGTAGAATTTTCCCACACAATAAAGACTTGTGAATTTTATTTGTAAAATTAAATATCAAAAGCTATTGGTTAGCTATTGTATATATTTATATACAATGCCGAAGTGTTTGAGAACTGCTGGTTTAGAGATTGGCCTTGAGGAATTTATATTGACCTGACCTCCATAAAAACCAAATATGGTGAACCGGAACCAACCATGGATTGCTTTTGCCGGTCAATGGCAACAAGATTGTCCAAATTCCTTTTCTGATTCAGAACTAAAAAAATACTTAGAATTAGGGGACAGGTACCAACTGAAGCCTTACATCAACACCTTGTCACCTTTTATTGTCCAGCTGTCATTTTTCTATCGGACTGAGCTGTTGTTCAATCAATGTTTTCTTCTTCTTTGTTGTTGCTGGAGCCGTTTTTATGTCAAAGTGACTGATTCTAACCTTTAAAGTTGAAGGTTGTTATTGGTGGAAAAAAATGTAGCCTCCTGGCAATTGAGCTTCCCGCAAAGATATCTCTATATTCTTTTAAAAACAGTTTATTTTGGGAAGAAAAATGCAGGACATTTTTTTCCGTCCTCCAAACCGTCTCCTGTTGCATTTGTTGCTTCAACAATATGTGAACTGTAATTTCAGTTTCAACAACAAAAACCACACAGTCCGCTCCAGCAAGCTGCCACTTAATCAGTGTGGGGTCAGACATTGTTATCTGCTGCCTTCCTCTCACTGACCCCTGCCATCACTACATCATCCATGAGTCCACTTTAAAAAATTACACAATGTTGTCATTAAAAGAAACAGACCACTGCCTATTGTTGTGCCAGTGCAGCACAAAAAACAAACAAAACAAAAACAAAACAGTGTGTTGATGGAAAGAGAGAGAGTGAGAGTGGAAAACCTGAAATAATACTAACATATCTCGGCAACTAGCACAAGTGGTTAACTGTGTATGAGATACATTTCATGGAATGACGTAATTGTATTTTGTAACTATTCCTACAAAACTGCGTCCCTAAGAGAGCATGGAAAATAAAAAAACAAACCAGCTTCTGGAAATTAAATGAGTTTGCCTTGCCCCCCCTTCGCCCCCTCCCGCCTAGAGCTAGAGCTGTTGAAGAACTCGCCCCCCCGTTCGCCTAGAGCTAGAGCTGTTGAAGAACTTTATCTCTTTCATCTATTCCTATGAGTGTATCAGCGTTGTGTTCAACTAAAGAGGCCCATGTTGCAGTAACTAAACTGTGAGTAAGTAGAAACTAGAAGATCCTTTTTTCCATTACTTATATTTTTGGGACATTTTGTGGTGGTTTTTTCTCAATTTTCAGTTGGATTGCTTTTTTGGAAATAAATCCTTTTTCAGTGGGAGAAACCAGGGTAAATAAACGGTTAAATTATAAAGAAAAAAAAAATTCTAATCTAAAACAGGTGCAATGGCTCAAAAATGTTCTGTCCTAAAAACCAAAAAAAAATCTTATTTTATTCCTACAGCGTTTTTATAAGCCTTTTATCTTGAGCCTCAAAATCTATTCAATCATTAATGTGTCTCTTTAAGCTTGCGGAAAATTCACAGTAGTGTAGCGAAGACAGTTAATGCCCACTTCAGAACACTCTTAAAAACTCCTGACCTTTACTTGTGTCTCTAACTTGAAAAACAAATGCCACAATTGTTGACGTCAGGCTAATAACTAGACTCCCAGTAAATAATATCTCCTGGTTTCACCCTAAAGTGATGTCCTTGATTGACTTGTCTTGGGGTCGTTGCCTCAGAGCATTATCTTAAAAGCCAGCAATTCAACCTCATATCGATTATTTAATTTCATATCCTTTGAGCTGGCACAGGGCCAAACAGAGAAAAGTGGAGAAAAAGTCTGTTTTTATACGCTCTCTGAGGATGTAGATGTAGAAACCCCTAGTTTTATGTTGTTGTGCCTACACCGCTCTGCCACCCCTACACAGCGGTGTGTCTCCCTACAGGCAGTGTTTCCTCTGTGGACAGGTGGTGTTGAATCCCGTCCAGATGGACTCTAAATCACAGCAGTTTCCTCGCCAGCTCGCAACATAAATATCCCAGGAGGAACACAGGAGTTACCCTCAGGTCTGCTGGTATCTTTCAGTCCCCTCCACACCTGGACCACCTCCTGAACATCTTCATCTCTGACACTTAGTGTCCTTTATTTTTCTTTCTCCAGACCAATGTTAGTCACTCTCTCTCGCTCTCTCTCTCAGCTCCATTTAACTCCCTAACCCTTGATTCTACCCTTCATTATTTGAATTCAGACTTGCCCTCTTTTTGGACTTTTACCATGATTTTTGTGGATTCACTGGGGGAGTTCACTCGCTCAGCCATGTCCTGCAGCCATCTGTCATCATCTGCTTTAATATCATATTTCGCACGTCGTCTTCCCTCCCCTCCCCTCCTGCTTGTCTTTCACCTGTAATCTACAGGAGCCTCCACATAGCTTTGTGTGAGTGCTGCTTCCAAGTCTGCCCTTATCACTGCGGTCCACCTGGCCTAGATTTCCGGTGTTCTGCCTCGCTTGCCACCTACTCTAATGCAATAACACTCTCTCGTGCGTATGTGTGTGTTCATACAGTATGTGTGGACAAAAACTGACAACTGCCTACACAATCGACAACATCAGGGTAAAGGATAATGAAAGTATAGGATGTAGAAAATCTCATGTCTGATCTAAGTGGAATTTTATTAGGTTGCTATAAGTGCCATATGGACCCCCTGTGTGTGTGTGTGTGTCTGTGTTCACCCATTTCTGCTGGTGTGGGTCTGCGGGTGTTAAGGTTGTTTTTCTGTCACAGATAGCTCCGAGTTATCACTCACTAATCCTCTAATGAAGCAGTTCGTTTGAGATAAAACTCCCTCCATCAGTCTCCTCAACGGAAGAGGGAGCAGACAACGCAAGGTTCTCGTCACCCTTCTCTGCTCTCCTTCAATGCCCACATTCAGTCATCCCTCCTTCAATCACTGTTTCTTGTGC